GTCTGCAATTCTATACTTGGACCATTTTTTTATAGTGTGACATTAATCGTATATGTTTGCGTCGATCCATATTCTGTATACCGACATTGCATACACAAACAAGAGATTTTTGTTATTTTACATTGCGAGTATCAATATTGATCTGCTTTTGGCGTCTCTACGTATTTTGGTTCGACTGGCATGTAGTTTCTCTGTTTTGGTTGGCAAATGGTAGCGCCAACGCGTGAAGGGATCCCGAGGGAAGAGCAAAGAACGCGAGACGCGGGAAACTGGCGTCGAAAGGAGATATCGTCGAAATCGTGCCGACACCGTTCCACGAGATCGCTAAATAAAGCCGCGTTTAAATGCTCGCGACGCAGCTGTCGTCCTCGGTACAATGGTACCCCTGTTTCGTAGACCCCGAAGCTCTTTGAGAGGCATCGTAGCGTCGAGGCAACGCGCGTTTTTTCAGCCCACTGGCGACGATCGTAAAGCGCCACGTGTTTGAAAAGTGGGTCACCCATCCGGGAATCGAACGACAGCGAGAACCAATTTTCGTCGGGAGCCTATCATCGCGACCGGATCACGTCTCTCCACGATCCTTGCAACTCCTGAGGAAACAGGGGACGCGATGAGTGAGTGGGATGACTAGCCTCCTGCGCGATGCTGGACACCTTGGCACTCGTGGAGCTCGTGTGTAGGTGGAGGGAAATTCGATCGACTCTCTGTTATAAATACAATCGGAATGATTGTACAGAGTAGTTTTGGGATTTGGGTAGATTGATTAATCCTTTGAGTGCCAGAGGAAATTTTCACGCAGCAAAGTTGCACGATTCTAAACAAAAATGTATATAGTAAAATTAATTTTTAAATGAGTTATAGCACTCGCAGCTTCGAGCAGCGATATATCGCTCCTTGGCACTCAAAGGGTTAAGGTCTGCAGAGAAAGAATGTGGACGTTTGAGCAGGTTTCGTGCACTTGTATGCGGGGTATATGCTAATGAGCAAAGTGCACTCTTGTTGGGTGTGCACGCCAAATGTGCAGGTGCCATATCGCCCATCATCCATCGTCCATTGTCAATCGTCACGTTACTTATATCCTGCATACATATGCATACATTATTTTATGTATACCATGCATACTAGTTGGTCGTGTGTTTTGCATATTTTCCATAGGCAGTCTCGTAGCGCGGAGTACTAAATATTGTATCGCAATCGAGAAAATATCGCGTTGCTAATCCCCCAATAACGTGCACGTTTCTTGCGCAGATTCCGGCAGAGAGAACCATGCCGAATTCGAAATCTCCCCTTCGGAGCTCGTTCTATCGATTTGCGCCGCCGCGCGGCGCCGCGACGCCCTCTGCTCCCTCGTGCTCGCCGGTTCGCGACGCTCTCGGACTCGTATCTCGAGAAAAAAACGATTATCGACGCGCGCTAGAGAGCGGTCAGCTGCCGACTACCACTTCCGGCACGAGATGAACACTATCCGTTTCTACAATCCTCTTTAGGACGCTTGTACATCGCAACGTACATGAATTTTAATATAAACTTCCTAAAATAATGTTAAGCTAATAATTAACACTAAATCTACCACGACCGGTCGAATGATCGTTTTCAAATTTTTGTATACAATTCTTACATGCTATATGTGAACACAATTGTTTCATGCATTATTCAATTTAGCTACACGTAAAATATTTCTGCATTTAATTGAAAGAAGTCTCTTTAAGATTAGTCGTTTGCCTCATCACGATAGAGATAGTTACAAATTAACGTCGGCAGGTTTAGTGTTAAGTTAATACTTTGACGTACTGTTAGGCTAGAAATGAGTCAACAGAAATCACTCTGGTTATTAAAATTCATGTACTACGTATCGTCCCGTAAAAAGCTTCCTATCGAAGTAACCTTCCCATCATCGCGCGCGCGGCATCGGTTTGAAGTTCGTTCAGCGGGGTATTTTAAATTTCCTGCAGCTCAAAGCAAACAAACCTAAACAGCGGTGGGCCATCCAATCCGACGTCTCTCTATCGATGTTTACGGCGCTCGAAACGAGGCGAAAGAATCGCGTGTGATATCTGCGCGGCGTAGTAGAGCTGCAAGACGCTCGTCGAGAATTCGCGTGGGTTATATTTAACCGATCACGGCGCGGAGTTTCCTCGCGACTCGAAATCCCGATTCGCCAGTCGCGGAGAGAAAAGACGCGCGACGAAGGAGGAAGAGGAGTTTCCCTGTGCGTCATCGCGCGCGCTCGTTGAACCGCGAGCGGTTTTCGAAGCGGAACGAGCTGCGCGGCCAACGACGCACGTGGTGACGACGGTGGCCAAAATTTCGTTTGAATTTTAGAGAATTCTAGGTAATCGTCAGTTTCGTTCCATTAAAAATAAAATTCCGTGTACCGATTGCGAAATGGTCGGGCTTGATAAACAAGACGACATTAAAGTTCTGCACGGTCAGACTTTGTTTTTTAGGATTCCTTTAGTAAAGAATCCGCTGTAGAAGGTACAGTGGTTAGTTAGGGATAGCCAAGATGCTATGAACGTCATGATTATCAATTTAACACCTTGCATGGAAATTTGATGCTGATCGAACTGCGATAAGGAAGAGGAAACTCACAAAAAGTTTATCGATCATATCCAGTAATGAAGCAATAAAAGATTAGCTCTTGTCGCGAGTCCACAATCCCCCCCCCCCCCCAACGATGCTATTTCATCTTATACGAATAAAAAGTCAAGCTGATCAGCTTTACGACGCTGCTCAGCGTTGGGAAATGGCTTATAAATATTTATTAGGAATTTTCAGTAGACGTTTCCACGTTGAGTGCTTAAAATAGCTACGGAGCTGAACTTACACGTGTGCGGGGTATCCTTGAAGAGATTAAGGACGCGCCTGCGACGAGCCGTGAGACCATTAAAATTCGTACAATCGTCGTTGGTGTAAACAGGGTTTAAGACCGTAGAAGTTGGCACGTTGCTCGAGGATTTCTACGTTTCCGTCGAATACGCGCACGTCCCTGCCGTTTTATTGCCCTGCTCCCGATAGCAATTGAGGTACACACAATAAATCACGCCGCGAAAGTCGGAATCATCGGCTTCGTGGGATGTCGGACCTGGGCCCAATTTTCCTAAGCCCCGTTCGCATCGACGCCCCGCAAGGCAAGCAATTTTATTACCGACAGGCTCACGATGGACAATGATGGGCCTCTGATTGAATATCGGAACCCCTCATTGCAACGTCTCTCAAAACGTGGCCCGCAGACCCTCTCGCATTATACAGGCCGTAAAATTTCTAACGTCGATGTGCACCATATACTCGCGACGACAAACCTTTCCCTCGTTAATTCTACCCAGGGCTAAATGAACAGTCCCAAGGTCGCTCTTCAGCCCTAGTTCTATTTGAATTCTGGTCATCTATCTCATTACATTCGGGTTCGTGCCATTACACGTGACAAAGAATGACACCTAACAGCTCTCTGGCTCCTCCCCTTAATTAAAATTCTTATAATCCGGGTCGTTAAGGTTAGGTATACTGCTATTATACCTAACTGAGAATTACACCTACCTACCAACCCCCCTCTCTTCATTCGAATTCTGACCATTCAAACAGACATTTTTTGGTAATCCTTGGAAGTAATGAGCGACAAATAAAAGTCAAGGCTCGTCGAGAAATCATTACCTGAAACAGTTGTATTTCATTCGATGGGGTCGTTTATTATACTCTACCACCGTAATTTAACACTAGAACCACCAAGCAGGTCGATATAACCCCTGCACTTTGAGCTTAGCATTCAAATTACTCAATTACTAACGATGCCTGGTTGCGATTTTCTATGAGAATAGTTCAAATAAAAAACTAATTAAACCAGCTAAACGATTCGTCCCTTCCTCCTACGATTCCAAAGGTGGGCCGATACAAATAATGAAACGAGCTTCGGTAGCTCCCAAGCGTTAATTCCTTTCGATCCTCGATTTCCAAGTTTCCATTTGATATTTTCTTTTTCTAGGGACCGCGATGATGGTCCCAGCGGGTACCAGGATTTTCGCGGGCACCAGATTTAGACCTGGACGCCGGCTGCACGGCGCAGGTAGGCGAGCGAGGCTTTGCTCGCGGCAAACGTTCGAACGAATAAGCTGAATGCCGCGCGCGTCTCGCCCCGGGAGAACGGGCCTTTCTTTATTTCGATCCTCGGCCCTGGATCCTCCGGCCCTCGCTTCTTTTCACAAGACGAGTTTCATCCCGGGTGAAAAGAAAAGAGAGATCGTACGGAACGGTGCGCGTTTTGAATGGCGCGTCTCGCGAAGATCTCGAGTTTCAATGGCCGTGCCACGTCCGATTTCGTGACAACCGAGAGACGACGAAGGAGAACACGAGAACGGGAGCTCTACGGACCCGACACAAAGCGGAGGGACGATTCTCTGGGCCCAGGAAGAGCCCGAAGGAACCGTGACCGTGGACCGCGACCCTCGTCGAATCACGCGACCCGTGGATATGCCCGATCGAAACGGAAATTGACCATGATGCGCCACCATTCGTAGGTGAAGCAGTTTGGTACTCAGGATATCAAGGATTCGAGAACTATAGCATCGAACTCGCATTCTAGAATTCTCTCTTACTTCTTAGGAAGCCTATTAGCAGATTGTTGATCGGCGATTTTCACAGAAGCGACTTCGCGTCACCGGCTATTATTATTTTCTAAATGTGAAATGTTACCCACTACAAAAAAAAATGATTAATTCTTTCATAAGGGTCTTTCTCCCTATGGTGGCGCTACAAGAGTCGCGACCCTCGACTCTCGACTCTCTTTTCTCGCGCGTTTCTCCACGCGGGAGATCCTCGACAGAAATAGTCGCAACGCCACCCCAAGCGATACGCTCGGCCAACCTTTCGTCCGTGGAAGTTGGAACGTTTTCCTTCGTTCTTTGCATTTGTTAAAACGTTTTCCTTCGTTCTATCCATGTGCATTCTTTGCAAGAAAAGAACCTGAATTTAAACTCGAATCTCACGCTTACCATAGAATGGGCCCATCCGCGGTCGAGGTTCAGTTGGAGAGCTGCCGGAAGGCCCAACTTGAAAGACGGTCGATCAAACCCGCGAGTGTACCTTCAATAATCCTCTGCGTGTGTGGGACTGCTCGAGGGAGGATTCTACTCTGGAATTGGGTTATTCTTTTTTCTGTTGTTCGGCTTTCGATGGGCAGGATTCCATAGTTTGTTAGAGACCAGCCTACAGTACGTTTAAGATGGTTAGGAGAAGAATATGTTAGAAGAAATATAATAAATTTGAATGGAATAGTAACCTGCAAGTCCCTCGTGGTCTTATCTTTTTTGGAACAACCCCCAAAGAGTACGCGCGTGCGATGTGCCTACAAACACTAACATTTTCGTTACTACACTTAATTTTCATTAAAAAACTACATATACCCATCCACCATCCTCAAGATGTCACGGTATATAAAATTGATTTTCCACAAGATCTCTTCCTATCCTATCTAAACTCTTTCCTATCGATTGCGTACTTCTGTCCTCGCTACAATCGCGGTAACCTCGCGCCATAGCTGGTCGCGTACGGATTGGAAGCTTCCCGGTGTCTGGCAAGAAACCACCGAAGAAGCTGAAACGAGACGGTGGCAATCGCGCTTTTTGTCGAGGCTCTGATCGTTTTCCTCTCTCAAGACGCGATTGGAACCGACGCGACGATCGAAGGGCGACCCGCGCGAGCTTCGAGATTCGTTCGCCGATAGAACGCGGAGAATGCGAAGCTCGCGCAGATCCGCTCGTAAATCTCGACGATTGGTCGCTCTCGCTGGTTAGGTCGCTCGTGCGTTTTCCCCTTTCGTTCCTCCCGTGGGAAACAGGGACGACGAGGTGAAGTCACCACGGGGAAAGAAAAGAGCCAGACCACCGGGGCGTCGCGACGATGACGTCTTTAGGCCTTTATAAAGGATCTACAAAGAAAACAGCCTCGGTGCTTCGAAAGCTATCTTAAAAACTGAACTTGGGTCTCGGTACTGAAAATACTACAAACTTGGTAAACTATATTCCTGACCAACAAATGCTACTTGTTAGGCTACACGCTAGCCTAAGGATGCATCGCTGAAAGCCGTCTTCGAGAAAGGAACTCGTGCGTTCGATTGGGAAAGGTCGCGCTAGTCGCTCGCGAACGCGCGAGCTCGTTTCGCTTCCTCGATCCGTCCGAGTGGTTCCGAATCGGTCGACGTCGAGAGATCGGCGAGCTGCGAACCAACACGAAGAGAGGACCGGGAGAAGGAGGACTTCGGTGCGTCGCGGGCTTCTAGCGAGGGAAGCAGAGAGCATCCAACGATAATCCAGTCGATCCTCTCGAATTCTCCGTTACGAATAATAAACTCGCCGACAAAGTGGCCGACTCCGGCAGCGGTCGAGCGGGGATCGGGCATAGACGCCTTCCACGAACCGCTTTTTTCCGTTTCGACCTTCCACGCCGTAAAAGGAGAGCCGAGCTCTCGTGGAAGGACGACCGCGAGGTTTACGCTGCTCCGATATTGCTCGACTGCTTTTACGGTTTCCTCGATAAACCGATATTTTTTTTTTTTTTTCGCTGACCGACCTGGGGTGGTCGTCGGGGCACTCCGTCGATGGAGCTCTCGGGGTCCTTTTCGAGCACCGGTGCTGAAAAGAGGTGAACGAAATCGAGAGAATCGGCGTGGTGCAACACGCTCCAAGTATTAATACGCGGTGGAAGGTTTCGTCGATGTTCGTGATCTTACTGTATCGCACATAGGACGATGGAAGACTATAGGCTCAAATTATTTTCTGTCATAACTACGTCGTAATAAATTAAGGTTTCAAAATGCGCAATATTGATCGTTCTACTCGTGCTTGTTCAGCTTTAATGACTCTTGAGAAACGGAGAGTGACGTTTCATATATATTGCTTGTACGCAAGGTGCTGCACGGTTGCATCACGACCCCAGATAATCTCAAACTACTTCAATTTTATGTTTCTGCTGGAAATCCAAGACGTGCCTAGCCGTATCTGGAATCGCGATGTTGTACGGTGCGTTTACTGGTATTAATCGCGTGGACATACGAACTTGGAACGCAACGTATAAATTCAATATATCCACTGCTACTTTGTTGTTAAACGAGGAGGTCTTATTCCTCCCAAGCTTCGTTGCTTTCGCGGTACATCCGCCCTTTTACACGTGTAATAATAACGATGACGGTAAACATACTCCTTCAGCGGCAGGTCATTACGTCTGTGGGAAAATCGACGTACGACTATCGTTGCACCTTGTCGCGTCGAGCGATCGTACGATAAGTCGTCGCGTCTGTGGCCCCTATTACGGGCGGAGTTCGCGAAAGGACGCGTTAGCGAACCTTCCTTCGGGCTCACCCTCTCGAATCGGTCTACCGATCGAAACTCTCCCCCTCGCGAGCTGCCCACCCGGCCGGAAATTCTGCCACGAGCCTTCCTTTCTTTCCTCGTCGGCCGGGCTCGCTCTCAGCGCGGTTTTCTGACGAAGCTGGCCCGAATTCCCACCTAAACAAACAATTTCAGCTAGTTGCAAACATTGTTAAACCCATCCAACCGTATTCGACCTGTAATTATAGCTCTGCAAGTCCAGTCCATGTCTTTCAAACTTTCGCTAACTTCGGTCATTTACAACTTTTTATCATAGTTGATCCTACACCTATGTTCACGATCTCTAAATAATACTGCTAACAAGCCGAGTGGTAAAAGTATCTATCAATGATTTATGAAAGCTACAGTTATAGAATTTCGTAGCCGGATATGATCAAGAGTATACAGACGTGTATCGACGTGACGTCAATAGTTTGCTAACAGTCCTGCAACATCCATTAATCTTGGATCTTGTCAAAGTGAAACCGTAACTTTTAAAGTCTCATAAGTACGTTGCCCGACATCCACAGTTAGATGTCATCCCTAAGTAGTACATGGGTTCATCCGCGCCCCCCATGACACGCCAGCTTTTCTACCCTTGTCTTGGTTGTCCCGGGTCTGGTCCTCTGAAACAAAAGTAAACGCTCCGATGAACCGGGTGTCCCCAAAAAGATAGCTGGCCCGAGAGTCGTCTCGATCCCAGCGATGACCTGGCGTGCACCCGTGGAAACTCTCATTTCGATTCGTCTTTCGGTAGCGTCGCGACCCGTTGCTCGTGTCGCAGTCGTCCTTTCTCTTTTCCCTGTCTTTATCGCGAACGTGACCCGGCTGGACGATCGAGAACGTTGACCCTACGCGTGGACCTCGCTACGCGCCGAGAAAGCGATAAACGGTAACAAACGCGAGGCAAAAAAGATCACGGGACGTCCGTGTCGCGAATTTCGATCGCTCGCGTCACCGCGGATTCGAAAATTTCCGTCTATAAAAAGAAGATGGTCTACACTGCGAACCCCCAACCTTCGTCATTCACAAATACACAGCTGAGAGCGTGGATGAATGATGGGTTCCCTCTAATATCGTTACATTGCAAAACATTTATCGAACTCGAACGAATGATACATTTCTACGTAGAATAATAAATAGTGCAAAGAGTTACCTTCCTTCTTCTATGTATAACAATGAATAATATCGAATACGAACGAGCCTCGACGAAACGAAAAACCGATCGAAATCGTTGGCTGACGCATAATGTGCAGTTCGATATTCCCGGAACGAACGAATGGCGATCGCGCGACGCCGAAGGCAAGGTTCGTCGACGACACGGATCATTCGAAGAATAATTAGTCGCGCGAAGAAGGCATGGCGGCTGCCGTGCCTTCCGTTCGTGGAAAACGTGAGCGTTAAATCTTGGATGACGATGACGAATCTCGAGCGTCCCGAGAGACTGAAAGGACGCGTGGTTCGCGGTCGAATTTTCGCGAGGAAGGGGAAGAGAGTCGTCTTCCGAGGGGAAGGGAATTTAGCTGTAACGACGGTGCTCCGTCATGCGTGAACCACGCGCGACGTCCATGCGTTAAACGAGACTCCTTCCAATAGTTCTTTCAATTAACCGAATAGTTGACACAAGACTAATCTGTTAATGCCTCATCAAGACCAGGAAGAAGTTGTCAAGCACTGTACCGCAAACAGTTCGGTAGAACCAGTTATACTCTGTTTGCCCTAAACAGACTTTCTTTCAAGGCTGCGTCAATTCCTTTAAACTATCGCTTTTAATATACTCTTATATCACCATGCAACTTGGAGACTACAGCTAACTTAGTTTTAATTAAACGTGTAACTACAATGTATGCTGTTGCTTTACTACAACATTGTAACAGGAAGGTTACCCCTATTGGTGCGAGATAACCATCGCGACCCTGCGGACGAGCGTGAACGACGAGTGTTTGGGATAGCACCGACGGAATCGAGCGAATGTTTACAGAGCGATATCGGGTAAGAGAAGAACGAATCGACTCTATGAATTCACGCGGAGTTCAAGCCACACGATGACACGTGGTATGAGTGCGTGATCTCTGCGTGAAAGGCCTCAAAGAAGGCCGTGATTAGGAATCGAAGAGTGCACGAGAGGTACTTGGCATTGAAGACTCATACTTTACTGAAGCCTAATCTGTTAAAACCTAATCGATAAAAATGTATATTCCTCCTTCCCTCCAACATCCATTTATACAAATAAACATATTGAACGTGTTCAGAAAGGTGTCGATATTGTTTTCTTACTCGTCTGCCATTACTTTGCGTTTCTTTCGAAAAACGAGAAGACTTTCACCCAATAGGACTCGAGTACCTTGACTTGCGAATCGGATTCGCCGTGTAATCCGTGGGATGCATTAGAAAGCGTCAGGACGCGATAAAAGGTGCGTTCTGGCAACGATGGAAGCTGCCTGGAAAATTCCACTCGGATCGAGGTACGGGTACGGATTTGGGTTCGGGATTCGTGTTCGGGCCCACGTCCGGGTTGGCTCGTTTGGCTGCGGTCTGGCTCGACCGTCGCCCCGATTCAGGGAGGAGGTACCGTGACGGACGAACGAAGGGATCGAAAAGTACGCGGGAAACGCAATTAGAGCAGAACCGGTCGCTGCTACAAACAGCTTTCGGGGGAGAGAATGTTTTGTCTATGCCGCACGGTACAGTTTCCGCTCGCCTTTGCGGGGCGTAGACGATCCCTGTTGCTCCGTCCTTCGGGAAACGTGGAAACGATCGAATTTACCTCGACAAAGCCTCCAAAGCCGCTGTTTTAAAAAGAGAACATTTCTGACCCTGAAAAATACCATGGTAAATATTCCAGGGGATGATTTAACGAAGAAACTATCGATTTATAGATCTGAATATTTGTTATCGCTTTCCTGTTTACCTTGGTGAGTACTACATGTCTGCAATCAAAGATCAGGCCATTCATTTTGGCACAGCTTTGTAGAAATAGAAACGAAACGAAGGGCAATCCTCTCCGAGCGATTCGAGTCCAATCCATCCACGCGACAGGAATCGCGAATGTGCATGCATGGATAGCGAGGCCAATCTCCTACGTCTTCTCTTTGCCGCTCTACCGCTTTTCTCCCGAGCGAGCGTTTTACGAGAAACTGTGATAAACAGTTTCCTCGATGCATATACCGTTTCTGAAAGGAAACAGTTAAGTTTTATTCGAATGAAGACCATCCGACTACTGGCTCAGTCAGAGTTGCATACGAGTGATACAATAAATTTGTGTCAAAGATAAACACGAAGAAGATAAGTCTGCACATCTACATGTACTGGATTAAATTATAGAAACAAGCTACATTTCTACTTACTGGCAAGCCTATGTCTCCCCTGCTCTGTTACTAATATCTCTAGGGGTATCATTGGTCATCCGATATTCGAATAACGTTTCGTCTATCCTTGAATCGAACTTGACTCGCCGCTCATGTCGGCGAACTCAGACGAATGTTTATCTTTTCGAGTGCATAGCAGTCGGCGTCTTCAAAAAGGCGATAGGCTTTAGTGAAATCTGAACACGGGCCTCCCCAATCGCATTAACTTCGACTTGTGCAATCCGATCTGCTTGCAGCTGTTCCGAGAAACCGTCGTTTTTGCACAGAAAATTTCGCTTCTTATCTCCGCGTGATCGATCGATTGAACGTAATTTCCTAACGATCGGACGAAAACAACCTATGCGTCGCGCTTCTTTTTATTAATAAATCCTGAATCTAGACGTCTGACTTGAGAGCAATTGTGTCGAAAGCTTTGCGAAATATGTAAATAGTTACTCTGCGATCAAAATTGAATATTGAATTATTCCTAACCTAGAGTTAAGTGGCGCCAATACGCACAACCTCTGAATGTATTACCACGATATTTTATGTTTTATGTTACATTACAAAATTGTGTGCAATTCATTTCGCTTCGTTACTGTTACAGCATCAATGACTAAGAAATTAGATTGTCTATTTATATAAACACAGCCACAGAAAATAATTGAATGCAACTCACGAAAGAAACTTTTGGGACAAGCTAATAATTACCTTATCAACGAATCCTCAAATTCGATCCCTAGATCTATAACCTTTAACCTCCCTCCCACTATCGAGTCTTCGTAAAATGTCTGTAGTTGTAATGCTAGTTATGGGAGATGATAAATTTGAGAAAACAATACACGATCTATCAGTGAATCGAGAGTTCCATACATATTCATCGCGAGCGAGGGTCGAGCGCGTCAGTAGCGCCCTCGGGTGCAGGGACGCGAAACTAACCTGGAAAGATTAGGCGACAGGTTTTATCGACGCTCGCTACTCGTCTTCGCTGACGCACGATCGTCGGGGAAACGATGCACCTTGTTCGTTGGTCGTCGTTTCGTTCGCGGCGCGGGTATATTTGCTGGAACGATCATCGTTGCAGGATCGTTTATCGCGCGAACGCGTTGCGCTCGCGACGCAGAAGATCGTGAAGGTAAAAAGAGACGAACGTGCTCGGCCGTTCTTCGGGCCAACGAACAACGATGACCTCGGTTTCAGGGTCGTTTCGACTATTATTCGCTTGCGCAGACTTAACTCGCCTTCTCTTCGTTCGCATCGTTCCCCCGCCTCGTCTCTCGCAGTGTGTCTTTTGCCTTGCTTGCACCGTCTCGCCTCCTATATGTATAGCGAGCCATGCATCCTTTCGCCTTCTTTCGTTTCGTCTCGCCTCCTCTCGCCTAGGTAGCCTTACCTCGCCGCCCAACGTCTCACCTCGCTCCGTCGTGCTTTCGCGAATGCTCTCCATCTCCCTCGTCGTTCCGCTCCTAAGGGTGCAGCTCCTTCGAATCGCAGAATCATTTTAACGACTCTCGCAATCTAATTCTCTTGGCCGCTTCTTTCGCGTCCCCCGACGTTCATCTAATACGATTCGCGAACTTTTTGCTGCCCCACTAATCGAGAATAGAGCACGTTCGAAAGGCTATTCGAAAGGATGCTAGATCGATCCGTTGAGCTTCGTTTCCCTCGCGATACCGTTGCAAAACACGACAATTGCGTCGACGAGCACTTACGCGATTACTTTCTCGACATGGAAAATCGCGCGTAAAACCTGAGGGCGCTGCTTTTGAAGAACATCGTGTCGGCGCATCTTCAAGAATCGTCATGGTGGCGACATCTACGACTAGCGAGCGCAACTACGGGGTATGGACCAATCGAATCGAACCACATGGCTCGGTTATAGTTTGTCCGGTGGAAGGAAAACTCTATCGTGAAAATCACGTGATTCGTGGTAGGGCCGAAATGGCGGGCTTCTGGGCCCTGAATGGATATGACATCTATGAAATTTGATCGAATAATAATTTAATAAATGTTGCATTTCCTATTAGGGATGCCAGTAGCCTCTTGTAGCTCGGGTACCTCGGGATTGTTAAACCCGTACTGTAGCTATAAATATAGATACAGCCCCTGAGGGAAAACTTCTACAGTTTCTACGTTAAAAATATATTTATCGATTTCCTATGCTTAGAACTCGTGTTACACTCCTGACTAGAGGGTAAAACAAACCAATGAGCTTTCTCGTAGGTCACGTGTACTCCCTTCCAGAATGTTCTCCTCCTTGAACTGCTATAGCTATGTCAAACGACGCGTCGTCCGCCTCCGACGTTCGTCCGGGTTGTCGGAAAAGTGTACATTAAAGATAATCGGGAGTATGTTGCGTGTTCTTGTTCGAAAGAAGTGTTTCCGTGGATTTATCGTGCAATCATGTTTGTATCGCGCACGAATCTACATTACGCGTTCGATGAAACGCCCATTTACGTAAAGAGGAGAACTCGAGAGAATGCGACGGTCGCTATGACAGCGAATCGCTTCGTCGTGTTTCTCATTTTCGCGTCAGGTGTTGCGGTTGCGGTAATCGGCACTTTCTTGTCTCGATACATCAAAGATTTGTCGACGAACATGCCCGGTAATTTTCTCGATCTATTTTGCACGGTCGGCTAACGTTTCATAACCTCTTTTTGGGGGCATCCATCGTTGTTTATTATTACGTTGATTGCACTTAAATTTCTTGTAATGTAATTAAATAAAGAGCGATAGTATAAACTGAGCGCACAATCCTATCGCTCTTTAAGTCAACGTTTGTACTATTAATTCATGACCTACTTATCTTTTCTGTGTGTCATTTACAGAACATCTAGATTACCGCCACGTATTTATTCCACTTCCCTCTGAAGGAACATTGAACGTCTACGAGGAGGGCACCCTGGACATAGCATTACCGGGTTCTCAATCAGACGCTCGGTTGGAGGTTCAAAGCAGAGCAGCATCCACTGCTGAAGCATTAACCTCCCTGCACTTGGCATTAGAAATGAAGCTCTCTGGAAAGCAAAAGAAGGCTGTAAAATTATTCCAGCATGCTGTTGCGTTAGCCCCTCGTCATCCGGATGTTCTCAACCATTACGGGGAGTTCCTGGAATACACTCAAAACAATATCATCAAAGCAAACGAGTATTACGTACGCGCGTTGAGTTACCAACCGAATCACGAAGGAGCTTTAATGAATAGTCAGAGAACAGCTCGCGTCGTCGAGGAGCTGGATCAAAGAATGCTTAGGCGTATAGACGAGAAGCGAAACTCGCTTTCCGCGATACCGGACAACAACGTGGCGTTAATACGCGCCAAGAAAGAGGCGTACTTTCAACATATTTATCACACGGTTGGCATAGAAGGAAATACGATGAATTTAGCTCAGACTAGAGCGATAGTCGAAACGCGAACCGCGGTGGGTGGCAAGAGCATCGACGAGCACAACGAGATTCTGGGATTGGACGCTGCTATGAAGTACATAAACGCGACGTTGGTGAACAGAGTCGGTTCTATTTCTATAAAAGACATATTGGAGATACACAAACGCGTGTTGGGACACGTAGATCCCGTCCAAGGTGGTCAGTTTCGACGCACTCAAGTCTACGTGGGTGGACACGTGCCTCCTGGTCCCGGGGACATACACTATCTCATGGAGGAGTTCGCGCTGTGGTTGAACAGCGAAAGAGCTATTCGGATGCATCCTGTCAGGTGAACACACAATTTTCTGTAATTTTACCCGCGGCATTCGGCTCAACAAACTTGTCTCTCTAACTTTTTATTTCATTCATGAATGTTCTTCTTTAGGTACGCGGCACTGGCGCATTACAAGTTGGTACATATACATCCGTTCTCCGACGGAAACGGTAGAACGTCTCGTTTGCTCATGAACATGATCCTCATGCAGGCCGGTTATCCACCCGTTATTATTCACAAGCAGCATCGGCACACCTACTACGAGAATCTACAAATAGCGAACACGAGGGACGTTCGACCGTTCGTTAGATTCATAGCAGAGTGTACGGAGCAAACGCTAGACCTGTTCTTGTGGGCGACCAGCGAGTATTCCAGACAAGTTCCCGCGCTCAGTCAAGAAACCTTGTTCACCGAGGAGCAAAAGACTATCGCTTTGGAAGAAGCCGGTGACATCATCGATACTTTCGACGATGACTGAGTATCGATGATCGAACGCGATATTCAAAAGTATTTTACAGACCAAAGAACAGTAGCGTAAGTCGTGTATCCATCCATCCATTCTTGCCCCTATCGGTTACATCGATCGAGCACGCGTCTAGCGATTCGTTTTAGTGATCGCGCAGTGGTTGCGTGGGAATGGACGAATGGAATATAGGCCGTGTCGAGTTTGTATCGTTCACCGTCATATATTTATTTCTATTATTTCTGTCAGGTCGGGTAAAGGCCAAGAAACCGCTCTCACGAAAAGCGCAATTTCCAGTTTAGACCATTTTGATTTCAACAGTACCTTTAGCGACGAATAGCCTGGTACAAAAATGCTTCCACTAGACTTTCCGTTGCATTCTATCGTATACATTAGAGACACTACGAAATACAGTGTGAAACTCAATCGAGAAGACTGTGATCTAACATAAGAATATATATAAGTATACGTATAACGGATGAATTTTCAACGCGGGTATATCATGTTTAAATTTATGGTGCAACGCGCAATCGTTTACTTGCTGGTCAAGTTATTTGCGATGTACAGAATTGTAAATACATACGCGGCTTTTAATAAATATATTATTTTGGAAATCATTGTTTGTGTATTTTTTTTTACGGCCTTCCTCCATTACAAATCTTCAGAAATACACCTGTTGGTACGTTAAACGGACCTGCCATTTCTTATCCTTTAAAACGTTTGTCATATATTTATTTACTTATTTATTTGTTAAGCGACAAAGTAAGACTTTCTGTAATTACGCGCGAGAGAGAGAAAAAGTGTAAATTTAGGAAACGACAAAACGCGTTGCCATTGCCATGCGTCTCGTTTCTTCGCATCGTTTTTTTCTCCGTAACTATTTTTCTTATCAAAAATAATAATGGTATCGACGTTTTCGAACGTCAAGCTACACGCGACGCGTACCGTTGTTCACCGGATAAGTTTATTAGTATAAATGCGTCGTTTGCCTGTTGGTTTTCAACCGTTCCTATTCGACCAGGTTCGAAGTCGATCAAGCTAAAATAATAATAATAAGACAAAAAGAATACTGAAGAACTCACGGTTTCTACGAAACTTTAATTTTTACGTTTTAAAACATTATCGACGCTTTGTCAGAGAATGAAACGATACAGAGGCGATTCGCACCATTTCCAAGCGCGTTCGATTTCGATATACGTATCACGAGTGAACAGAAACTTTGCGTTCGTTACGCTAAAACGTGCAAATTTCTCTCTTTTTTTGTTTCTACGCGGTATAACGACGCGCCGGTTATCTATATAAATACACTTCTATAAAAATCATATTTTGCCAACAACCGTAAGTTGACGATATATCGTTTTAGATTTTCTCGCACTCGTTCTCTCTCATTCACTCACTCATACGTTTACTCACGCTCCCCTCCTCTGCCCCGATTCGTACACGATCTCATGGATCGGTCGAATCGGTATTCACGAGACGCTCGATACGACTGTTTGTCGTAGAAAGACCATTAACAGACGTTACGAGTGTTTAAACCCGCGTGCAGACCAAACCGCCAAGGCAACCGAACGCACATGTGCTCGAACGTTGGCGAACGTTGGCGCACTCGAGACTCGAGCACCTGTGCCGTTGACGGCCGTGGTTCTTTGGTCTATACGCAGCTCAATGCGACGCGTAACCAGAGTGCAACAAATCGCTACAGGATTGCGCCTGCTCGTAGGATTCTCAGTAACATTCGCGCAGACATCGCACCCTTGCGACAGTGAAAAAGTACAAACAAAATGAAACGATAAGAAAAATAAACTGCTCGACGGTGAGTCGTCAGCAGAATTTCGTGATAAAGAAACAAAAAAAAAAGAAAAAAAGAAAAAAAGAAATGAAATGTAGATGAAAGTAAAGCATAAAAGTATCTAAAATAGGTGTAAAGTCTAACCTAACGACCCCGAATCGAGTTCCTGCACGGGTATATTATTTTTGTTCTTCCTAGCTAGCAGTTATAGTCACGAAATCAGTCATTATTTGGTTCGTTGCGAATACGGGTGACTCGTGCACGTTCGCAAAATATCACTGAACGTAGGTTTCCTCTACGAATAAATTTTCTTCCCGCGATTCCGCCTTGGATAGAGGCTAGAATATGCTTAGATGTCACTGACTCTAACGTATCGTTTAAATTCAATCCGGTTTAGGCTGTTCAACGTGTTCGAACCGGCGTCTCTAAACGTTGAACGATATTATTCTCATCGGTGTATTTAAAATACCGATGCGCCACGAAGCGACGAATAAATAAAGATAGCTACGAGTAAAAACGCGTCCGATGACGATAAAGATTTTTTTTCTTTATGTTACTATCAAGTGTGTACAAAATCGGATTTCGACCCGTTTCTCATTATCGGAATAAAAGAAAAGATCCATCGAATGCAATTCACGCGTATAGATACTAGATAGTCAAGGCTCGATAGACGCG